AGTGTCCTGTATATATCTACTATGTCCCTTTCTTCCATTGTTTCCCTCAGATGAAGTATGTCCTTGCTAAGCTTGAGTCTGGTTGATCTATCAAGAGGTGACAAAGCAGTGTTGAAGTCTCCCACTAGTATTGTGTTGCTGTTGATGTCTTTTTCCAAATCTATGAGTAGTTGCTTTAAGTACTTTGCTGGTCTCTCATTAGGTGCATATACATTTATTATTGTAAGTTCTTCCTGTTGTACAGATCCTTTGATCAATAAGAAATGACCTTCACTGTCTCTTATGACCTTCCTCACTCTGAAATCGATGCTTTACCATTGTGAAAACTGTGGTTTAGTCCTTAACATTCACTGTTACTATTCTGCTTGATATGCAGTGTGAGTTAAGATAGGCTTATGAGTTATTGGCTACTGTGTTTCTAGTGACTGAGTTAAACTAGAGAAGTTTCCATCGAAGAAGTTAGCTTATGGTTCCTATGGCATATGAAGTGGGAAAATATTTCTGCGCCGACGCGGCCGCGGCTCCAGAAAGAGTCCCTGGCACTGAGCGAGGAGTTGGGAACGTCGAGGGAGCTAGCTGTGCATGCGCAGAGAGGGTCCCAGGCCCTTGGGGGCGGGCTGTACCTGGTTGCAATAGGAGCCGTTCGCTTGGTTGCCCAGAGCTGGGCCTCCGTGCCCGTCCCGCGCAGACCAGGGGTGAAACCGGCTTCCTAGGAGGTGGAGCTAGCTGGGCATGCGCACAGAGGGTCCCAGGCCCTTGGGGGCGGGCTGTACCTGGTTGCAATAGGAGCTGTTCGCTTGGTTGCCCAGAGCTGGGCCTCCATGCCCGTCCCGCGCAGACCAGGGGTGAAACCGGCTTCCTAGGAGTTGGAGCTAGCTGGGCATGCGCAGAGAGGGTCCCAGGCCCTTGGGGGCGGGCTGTACCTGGTTGCAATAGGAGCCGTTCGCTTGTTTGCCCAGAGCTGGGCCTCCGTGCCCGTCCCGCACAGACCAGGGGTGAAACCGGCTTCCTAGGAGGTGGAGCTAGCTGGGCATGCGCAGAGAGGGTCCCAGGCCCTTGGGGGCGGGCTGTACCTGGTTGCAATAGGAGCCGTTCGCTTGGTTGCCCAGAGCTGGGCCTCCGTGCCCGTCCCGCGCAGACCAGGGGTGAAACCGGTGCCGTATTTTTTTTTTTTAATTTTTTTTTCCCCTTTATTTTATTTTATTTTTTTTTTAAAGTTGTAGATTTACAATTTTTTGTGCTTTGGTTTCAATTATACAATGATCAGATACCCATCCCTCCACCAGTGCCCATTTTCCAACAGGTACAGCCCGCCCCCAAGGGCCTGGGTTCCTCTCTGGGCACGCGCAGCTAGAAACAGCCCCTAGACAGCCGGTTTTCAACCCCTGATCCGCGTGGGACGGGCACAGAGGCCCAGCTCTGGGCAACAAAGCTGAACGGCTCCAATTCCAACAGGTACAGCCCGCCCCCAAGGGCCTGGGTTCCTCTCTGGGCACGCGCAGCTAGAAACAGCCCCTAGACAGCCGGTTTTCAACCCCTGCTCCGCGTGGGACGGGCACAGAGGCCCAGCTCTGGGCAACAAAGCTGAACGGCTCCAATTCCAAACAGGAGACATTCCCAACTCCTCGCCCAGTGCCAGGGACTCTTTCCGGAGCCGCGGCCGCTAACGCGGCCGCGAAATATTTTCCCACTACATATGCCATAGGAACCATAAGCTAACTTCTTAGATGGAAATTTCTCTATTTTAGCTCAGCCACTAGAAACACAGTTGCCAATAACTCATAAGCCTATCTTAACTCACACTGCATATCAAGCAGAATAGTAACACTGAACGTGAAGGACTAAACCACACCTCTCACAATGGTAAAGCAACGCAAAAGCCCACCAAACATTCACATTGAAGAGTCTAGCCCAGATGACACCAACAGTACTGTAGTGTTAGACAACCTCTCTGACAAGGAATTCAGAAGGGAGCTACTGAGGATGCTTAGGGAATTAAAAGAAACAATGGAAAGCAATGCCAATAGAAGACAAGAGGATCTGAAGTCAGAAATGAGGAAAATGCAATCAGAAATGTCAGACCTGAAAAATCTCGTAGGCGAATTGAAAAGCTCAGTGGAAGGCCTCAGCAGCAGAGTAAGAGCGGCTGAGAACAGAATCAGTGAGCTCGAAGATGAAGTTCAGAGACTCTCCAGAAAAGAGCAGAAAATGGAAAAGAGACTCACAATTCGGGAACAGATGGCAAGAGAAGATCGTGATGAAGCCAAGAGGGGTAACATAAGAATTATTGGAGTCCTAGAGGGACAGGAAGAAAACCTCGATGAAGAAGAAACTGTCAAAGACATCGGTGCCGTATTTTAATGCATGGTCCATTCACTTTTCTGCTACAAGCTTTTGGGCTCTGGATTAAGTCCTTTTGCCTCTGGAGCCATGGCTGTGTATGCGGTCCAGATACATTTCTGCCAAAAGCTGCTGGGTTTCGATATTTGTTTCTGAGTCTCTGGGAGCAATGCCATCAGTCAGCTTAATCAGGAGCCAGAGAGGCCGTTTGTAGGCGGCGACTTAGGGTCTCGCTGGGATGGGGAGAAATGGCTGGTTCCACCCTCATCTCATGAGACCCCGTGAGTCTATTCACTGCAGGCCCAAATCTGGCTGTCTAGTGGTCTCTAGAGGATGGCAGTCACCGGACCGCCAAGGGGAACAGGCCAAGGCACGAAAACTATTCCCACCTAGAGTGGCCCAGCCCTAGTAACCTACTTCAGGAACAGACCGCATTTCTGCCAAAAGCCTTTGGGTTCCGAGATTTGTTTCTGAGTCTCTGGGATCATGGTCATTAAGCAGTTCGATCAGGAACCAGAGAGGCCATGCCTACACTTATATAGCTGAGCCGGAGGTGGTTTGTGGGTGTGTCTCCCACATACCTAACTTCTGGCCGTTCACTTTCTTGCTAAACTTTGCCCCAAGATCTTGGGGTCTGGCCAAAGGCACAGGAGCAATTTTGGGATATCTGAAGGCCTGACGGTGCCTTCAGGCTGCTGATACACCGCCTCACAGGTACAGATTGACCTGCTGGCGGCACCATATCCTCAAGACCACCAACTCTTAACTCTGGCATTGCGCCCACTCTGGAGAATTCCATCTATGTTCTAGTCTTAGTTTACAGAGATATCCTTCCTATGAATCCAACAAAGGTTAACACATTCTTCATTCTTCCCAGCTATAAAATCCAAATCTTTTCCTGACAGGAAAGCAAATTCACCTGCAAATTCACCTTCACTCATAATATTGTCAGATAGATATATATGTATATATATATATATATATATATTCTGTGCCTATAGCATAACCATAATCATCTTCAAATTCCATTTTCAGTGGCATATGGAGAAATAAAATTCTAATCATATCTTTTATTAAATGTATGAGTCTCATAAAGTAGGTGATTGATAAAGCAATGAAGCCCGGGGCTAGACTGAATCCTCTTTGATCACTTGATCACTTGATCACTTGACTTCCCGTTAATCCTCGATTTGCTTGAGCGGTCGCCAGTAACGTCTCCATTTGTCCCTGTCGCGTGCTAGTGGAGCCCAATGGCGTCTGTTCGCTCTAAGAACATGAAGAGCCTCAAACCGATCGTTCATAATCTTGATGAAGAAGTCTGACCATCTGGTAGTTGGGCGGCCACTCAGTCTTTCGACATCCCATGGAATCCAGTCAGTAACAGCTTTAGTCCAGCAGTTGTCTTTAAATCTCATTACGTGACCAGATCATCTGATTTTTGATGCCTTGGTAAATGAGACAGCATTCCTGATTCTTAATCGTGGATAGATGTAGGAACTCCAGATTCTTTCTCTCTTTTAAGTGAAATGTGATATCCCATATTGAACCAGTAACTACAACTGGTCTCATTCACTTGACACTGAAAGCTTCACCGACATGGCAGCACTGAGAAGGATGAGAAAGGAGAGGCCAACAAAATCTCAAGGCCGACCTAGGCTGCCACAACGAAGGAAGACAAAAAATGATCGTCTGTACTTTCAATGCACGTATGCTAGCATCAGATGCATCCATCGAGGACCTGATGGTACAGACGCGAATGATCAAGTACGACATCATTGGTCTGACCGAGACAAGAAGGCACGAATCTCACCATGCCGTTTTCGACACTGGAGAAGAATTGTTCCTCAGAACATGCGATAAAAGAGGTGTTGGAGGCGTCGGAGTCCTTGTCAACACAAACTTGGCCAAGAGCATTGATTCATTCGAATGCCTAACAACCCGAATCGGACGTTTACATTTGAATAGATGTGGCTCACTGCCTGCAGTTTCTATCTTCGTTGTCTACGCACCAACATCTCATTATGATCAAAGAGAAATCGAGAAGTTCTACATGGAGCTAGAGAAGTTCTATAAAGAAGACCACACCTTCTACAAGATCATTGTGGGTGATTTTAATGCCAAGATAGGACCGAGAAGATCAGCTGAAGAACTTCACATCGGGACCCATGGCCTAGAATGGAATGAACAGGTTGAGAGACTGTCTGAGTTCATCATGTTGACCAAGACCATTCATGGTAACTCACAGTTCCAGAAGGCAGAATCTAAACGATGGACATGGGAATCTCCCGGTGGACGATTCCACAACGAAATAGACCACATCATATTCAATCGACGGTTTTGCCTGACTGATGTCGCTGTGGTCCCAAAATTTCGAACGGGATCGGACCACCGTCTCCTTCGTGCAAAATTCTACTTCACAGAGCGGGGAGAAAGGGCTGCAAAGTTCAAAAAGAGAACTCCCAGAATGACCACCAACTGGGAACTCTATGGTACTATTGCGGCAACATGGGAAGATGCCATTGTTGACAACATTGACGAGGAATACAATCGACTGGTTCAGCACCTCCATGAATGTGCGAGGAATGCCAAGAGAGAGATAGCCACAAAAAATCGCCTATCTTCGAAAACTCTTGAGCTAATTCGCCAGCGTGGATTGGCGCATGCCTCAGGCAACCGCAAACCGGTGCACGAGCTGGGGCGCAACCAGCAGCGGCAGGAATGGAAGTTCCCCGACCCCCCCCCAAACCACCGAGGCCACCTGCAACCTGTGGTGCGTGTACGTGCATGAGACGGTGCTGAGCATCCCCCGGGGCCGTGCCAACATCGCCCTGTGGCCCCCGGTGCGGGAGAAGAGAGTCTGCATCTACCTGAGCAAGGGCCCCAACGTGAAGAACTGGAATGCGTGGACAGCGCTGGAGACCTACCTGCAGGTACGGCAGGAGGGAGGGGTCCCCGGGAGCCAGGCCCAGGGTGACTCCTAATGACTCACTTCCTGCCTGTAGCGCCTCACTTCCAGTGCTGCCCCACTCCTGGTGGCGCCTCACTTCCGGGGGCACCCCCACTTTGCACCACCCTGAAGTGGATTCGGTTGTCCTGGTGCCCCGCTGAACTCCCCACCAGGTGTTTTGAGAAGACCCCTGAGAACAGGAGAGGAAGCACCACGGGAGCTTCCAAGTGTTGGACACAAGTGCGGCCCCATCAGTGTGACCTCTGGCACTGGCCTTGAACCCAGCCATGTCCGGGACCCAACCAAACTGATGACCAGTTGCCCAAAACTGAGCATTCCTAGGGCCTGAGAGATCACACAGCAGGAAGGGCATTTGCCTTGCCCACAGCCAGCCCAGCTTCCATCCCGGCACCCCATAAGGTCCCCTGAGCATTGCCAGGAGTGATCACAGAGTGCAGAGGCAGAAACAAACCTTGAGCACCGTCAGGTGTGGCCAAGAAATCAAACAAAATACACTAAGCATTCCCCCACGCACACATAGACATACAGGGTGGAAAATGATGTCTCCCTTCCCAAGGTGAGTGGACCATTCTCCTCTTAGCCCTCCACCCTGCTTCTCTTTCCACCGTAGAGGAGATCCAGAATTACTTCCTGTCATGACCCTGGAGTTACTGCTCAGAGCGCCACTTCCCTTCCCTCCCAGGCCCTGGATTGGTTCCCAGCTTACTGGTGGAGCGTTTCATACCCTCGAATTCTGGAACTCAGTCCTAGGCCAGCCACACGCTATTCCATGTGCTCAAGTATCTCTCCCCACTGTCCAGAATTTGGCAGCGAAGCTTAAGATGGGAAGTTTGACTCCCACCTTATCATGAGGGCCCCTCTGCCCCTGAATAGAGGGTCCTCATTTGTGAACTAGCATGGGGGGTCCTCTGGCTAGCACCCCTCTTTCTTCGTACTCAGAAGTACCATGGCTCAGCCTGGCATGGGCTCTTGCCAAGGGACTGGCCTTTTTCTCAAGTGACTCATTAGCGCTTTTGTCTGGCTACCACTTCTGTGAGACTTGCTTTCTCTCAGAGGCCATTCCAGTCCCTCGGAAGTAGATTCAGACTTGTGTTTCATGAGGATTCGAGTCCTTCGGGTTGGGGGTGGGAGATTATAATCTTGCTCTACTGTAGATACCTAGGAGATGGCCCCCGTGGTCGGAGTGCATGCAGGCTCCCCAGTTTCATCCCAGGCGTCTCATGCTTCTGGTCAACCCCCAGCACTCTGGAGGGCCCAAAAGATGCAATAAAGTCTGTTAGAAGACTAATGCTTCCATTTGAGGCCATTTGATACCCTAATGTCATACCTTGGCATTGCCATCCGGTGTAGGAATCAGGACCTGGTAGTAACTACTCCACCCCCAGCTATTTCCGGTGCTCTGGGTCTAAGTAGAGCTTGTCAACTGCTCCCGACCTTGCTTGGCACAGGAGAGAGTGAGGCTGTTGGGCCCAGTGGGAGAGCGGGTCAACGAAAGAGATCCTAGCCATGTGCATGGGATGACCTCGGTGTGCCACCTGTGGGGGCTTCCTGTCGAGACAGGGTCTCACCCCCGCTGATTTCTCCTTCCAGCTCCAGGAGGCCTTTGGGTGGGAGCCTTTTATCCACCTCTTCACCGAGTACCGCAACCAGACCAACCTGCCCACAGACAACGTTGACAAAATGAACCTGTGGGTGAAGATGTTCTCTCACCAAGTGCAGAAGAACCTGGCACCGTTCTTTGAGGCCTGGGCCTGGTCCATCCAGAAGGAAGTGGCAACCAGCCTGGCCTACCTACCCGAGTGGAAGGAAAATATAATGAAACTGTACCTCCTCACACAGATGTAAGGAGTGCCCAGCGAGGTGGCAGGTTAGAGAGGTCCCGGGAGGCAGGCAGAGAATGGGCCTTCGCTCCGCCACCTCTGTCACTCAGAGCGCGAGCCTGGTCTTCTGCTCCCATTAGCCCCATAACCCCCCGATCCCCCCTGATCCGCACCCCCAGTTCTGTCTGGAGGAAGTAGGCTCAGAGCACACAGAGAGGTGGAATCGGAGCTTTGCAGAAGCAAGGTCTTGGGACTTGCAAGGCCCGTGTCTCTGCTCTCAGATTTCGGTCATTGCCTGTTTCCAGGCCTTGTTCTCAGAGCATCACCTCCTGGACTGGGTCCACAAAGGGAGCCCCTCCTCCTGACATCCTGGGGTCTCTCTGGGCTTGTATTTCTGATCAGTTCTCCCCCCAAGGCTCCCTTAGAACCCAGCCGAGACCCGAATGGGCCAGGAGCACCTGCCAGTGACCCGGTGATGTGAGGCGTTTTCTCCAGGAGCTGCTAGGAAGGGCCATTACTAGGCTGAGCTCTGGAGTAGCAAGTGTGGGCTTCTTCATGGCTAGCTGTGTGATTCCAGGCAAATTCTTGCCCTTTCTCATCTCGAAAATGGGATCTATTTTGTAGGATTATTGTGAAGATTCGATGGTAGTCCTTTGAAAAGTCCTTTGATTTGAAAAGAACCTAGCAATGATTAGGAGGAGGGAAATGAATGAAAAAGAGAGAGAGGGAGGCAGAGAGGGAGGGAGGGAGAGAGAGAAATATCGACCACCACTGTTCTTTACCTAACTCACTCATTTTTCAATTCACTCATTTTAAAACAAGGTTTCACATTCAGCTGGCATTTACAGATGCGGTATAATTAATTCTCTTCCGTCCTGTGCTTGGTCTGCCCGACCCTGAAAAGACTGTGGTACAATGCTTTATGAATGTAAAAATCACAATGGGGTTTTCAGTGTTGCTTGAGGATCAGCCTCTTTATTCAGTTCTGTCTCTCAAGCAAAAAAACAATATCCTGCCTTTGAATAAACGAAGCCTGGAAGTAAAGCTCTTGAAAAACCAGGACAATGTTTGTCTAACCAACAATGGACTTCTGGCTCAGGGCCTGGGGCAGGTGCTTATGTTTCCACAGTTGAGACAGGTTCCAATCACTGTCCCGAGTTACCACTTTGGCAGATAAAGTGCAGACAGGGGTGATAGTAGAACGGGTAGGGCATTTGCCTGGCATGCAGCCAACCTGGGTTCAATTTCCAGTGTCCCATATGGTCCTCCGACCCCACCAAGAGTTAGCCCAGACTGCAGAGCCAGGAATAAGCCCAGAGCATCACTAGGTGTGGCCCCCAAGCAGGAAAGTGCACCGAGAGAGAAATCTTTCTTTTAGAACAAGATAACTCAGCACAATTGATGCAAATTTCCTTTTTTTAAAAACAAAACATATAAAGATTTTCTGAAATTTCCTCTGATCTTATTCAGAACCTCTCATTACTTTGTAGCTTTAACTATAATTGAGGGTCTATAATTAAAGTTAGTTCATTAATCTAGACAGCTTTTCTTTGGCTCCCTTCTATTTATTTCATTGTTTTACAGTTCTCTCTGCTTTGGGGGAGTTTTGGTAGAGAGAAGCACTTGACGTACATTGTGATTTTCTTTGGATGCCTTTATCATTTCTCCATCATTAATATGATTTTTTTAAAAATTGAATAATAAAAAGGGAATTATTTCCCCTTATCTCATGACTATGTCATCTATTGCTTTGAATGTAGAAGTTGACTTTTCAGTCACCTTGGAAAATAACAACGGGCAGGAAGTGAGTTGTGGAGTCTTGGCAATGTCTCTGCTAGCGATGGTCTCAGTTAATCTTCACAATAATCTTAGAAGATGGAAACTCATTGCTCCCTGTCAGGTATGAGCAGAACAGATAAGATGAGCAGCGGTAAATTGCCTCAGCTACAGTGCTAATACGAGATGGATCTAGTCTGAAACAGGCCTCCTGGTTGCAGAATGGTGTTAACAACCGCAGTTCTTTGAACACCCAAGTGAAAAGAGTATATGACAGACCCAGCAATCCAGCCGTAGGATCTGTCTGTCCTCACTCACCTCCTGTTGCTCTGGCCTCCTATACTGGTTCCTCATCTGATTTCATTAGAACAAACAGTCCCTCTGATCATCCCGGGTGCCGGTTTAAAGGGAACGTCTGAGGTGTTCCCCACTAGTTAGAGCTGGGATGACCCCTTTATCATCATTCAAAGGCTCAACTTCTGGGCTGTTGGGATTTCAGTCTTTCTAGTTCACTAGCTTACTGGGTTTCAAAATGATGGGTCCCTTCGGTAAAAAACTCACACCCCGGAAGTCCCAGACTCTGCATGTTTTCAGCAAGCTTATTAGATTCTCATCCATCCCCTCCCTCTCGATTCCATTCTCATCGCCCTAGGGGGACCTTTAAAAACTGGAAAGCTAATCCAGGTCAGTGCCCTGTGTGCAAGCCTCAAGCGGGACTTGGAACTTAAGATGATGAACTGAACCTATAAGTTTACCTCCCCTCCCTCCCCAGGCCCCACTGAAATTGAAGTCAAGACACGAAAAAGCCAACTGACACCTCTCAGCCAAGCAAACAGAGAAGATTTGGTTCTAAGCGAAGAAGAACTCAACCCAGGCCAGCCGGAGCAGGATAGTGGACACGCGGGAAAGCATCTTCCAGGCAGGACATAAGCTGATCCGAATCACACGACCCCCAAGAGACCTGGGCACGCGAAGAGGCTTATCTGTTAGCGAGACAAATGAGTTGTGAAGCTGAACCCCACTGAACCCCTCGACCCCACTTTCGTGCTCAGAACACAGGCAGTGTATTGCTACTGGTTTCAAGTCCCTTGTCACTGTTATTGTCATGGTGTTTTTTGCTGTTGTTGTTTGTATAAAGGAACTAAATAAACTGCCTGAGGAGAGGTAGGAGTTGGTGCTCCAGAATAAAAATCTTTCTTTCTTTTTTTTTTTTAGTGGAAATAAATAACTCCTTAGCCTATTAGCTAATTCTCTAATTAGAATTAGAATGAGACTCATCCCATCCTCACTCCTTCTCTAGTGCCTAAGTGCTTCTAGAGTCTTAGTAGAAAGAAGGCTTGAAATCCAATTGGTAAGGGCAGCAGAAAACCCATGCCAACTCCTAGAAAAGTCAACAGTTATATTGATTCCTCAATGCCAGCCAGGAATTCTCAGACATTGAGCAGAGAAAGGGGAGTCAGAAGGACGGAGAATCAAGTGAGAGAATGTAAGGGAAATAACCAATTTGAGTTAGGAGATTTGAAAATAAATGCACACACACACACCTGGAAGAAAATTTTTGGAAAAAAAATAAGTAACTTAGAAATTTTAGCTGCAGAAAGATCTGGGGTATTTTTATAAGGTGAAAATACAGGGAAAATAAAAGAATTTTTTCAAAGTCCTTTTGAAATTAAAATAAGACTTCCAAACATAGTAGACTGGAAGAGAAAAATAATACTCACAGATACAGAGCCCAAAAGAAAGAGCAGAGCAGAAAGCATGAATAAAGGAAAGAGACAGAGTCAGTATCTAAATGCTGGAACTTCTGGAACTAAAAACGAATGAAAAAAGGAAAGAATTGATGAACAGAACAGTCTTCAGATTGAGGTGAACCCCATTCTACTTAGATCTGTACTAATCTTGTGACTCTGTAGAATATTGGGAAAGGAGGGAAGACATTAAAACTGCCTGGAGAGAAATTAAATTTAGTTTTTTATAATTAGTACAATAAGCAAGGGATGAGGAACTGGCAGATTTTTCATCAGGGCCACTGAAGGTAAGAAATCAGTGAAGCAACGTCTTCAGAAATGGAAAGTATTTTTCCGCACCATTCCTAGAGTTCCAACCCTTAGAGTCGCCTAAAAAGGAAGACATTTTCTGATATGTAAGTTTTCAAAGTCTCTCCCCCTCTGAACCCCTAATGAGTGGGTACCTTGAGGAAGTTCTCTAGCAAAACTGAAATGGAACCCCAGAAGTGAAATAGAAAAATAATGGAAGTCCAAGAGGAAAGGCATGGAATCCAGAAAAAGAGCCAGGGGCTCTCACCCATTAGATATAATTCTAGATTCACAGCTCTCCAGCAGGATGCCTCACTCCAGAATAATGTTTATTCGCAAAGAATACCTCACTCCAGACTAAGAGTTTCCCCACAGAATACCTCACTCTAGAGTAACAATTTCCACACAGAATACCCAACAGTTACCCCCACAGAACACCTCACTCCAGAAAAATAGTCACCAACAGGACACTTGAGAGTGACAGTTACCAACAGAATACCTCACTCCAAAGTAATGGTTACCATCAAGATACCTCGCTCCAGAGTGACAATTACCAACAAGATACCTCACTCCAAAGTGACACTTACCACCAGGATACCTCACTCCACAGTGACAGCTACCAACAGAATACCTCATTTCAGAGTGACAGTCACACAAAAGGACATCTCCACAGTGAGTAACAACAAGACATCTCACTCTACGGTGACAGTTACCAACAAGGCATCTCACTCCAGAGTGGGTTATCAACAGGACACTTCAGAGTGATAGCAAAATGTTGCCTCACTACAAAGTAACAGTTAACCACACAAAATACCTCACTCCAGAGTGATAGTTACCAAGAGGACACTTTACTGCAGAGTAACAGTTACCTTCACAGAACACCTCACTCCAGAGTGACAGTTACCAACAAAGAGGCATCACATTTGAGTAATGGTTATCCAACAGAACACCTCACCTTAGAGTGACATTTACCGACAAGGCATTGCCTTTCAGATTGGCAGTTATTTCCACAGAACACCTCATTCTACAGTAATAATTATACCCACAGAACGCGTCCTGAGTAAGAATTACTCCCAAGTACATCTCTCTCTAGAGTAATGGTTACCCACAAGATAGACCTCACTCCAGAGTGACAATTATCAACAGGACACCTCACTTTAGAGTTGCAGTTATTTCCACAGAACACCTCACTCCAGTGTAAGTTATCCCTGATGAATACCTCAGTCTAGAGTAATGATAATCCAACATGACACCTCACTCCAGAGTGACAGTTACCAGCAGGACATCACTAATGGATAACAATTAACAACAGTGCACCCCCAGAGTGGCGGTATCCAACAGGACACAACTCCTAAATGGCAATTACAAGAGGATACCTCACCCTATCGGGATGGGTATCCAACAGATACCACACTCAAGAATCACAGTTTTCAAAGAGGGTGATTCACTCTGGAGTGATGACCCACCAGGATACCTCATTCATATGACTGTTACTTGACAGGACGCATCATTAGAGTGAGTTACCTACCTGCCAGGATTCTTCAGTCTGGAGTGATAGTTGTTCAATAAGATACCTCCACTGGAGTGATGGGTATCTAGCACACCTGTTTCAGTTAAGAATGTAAGTCTGAGGCTGTCAGGGAAAAATCTACCTTGAGTATCATAGGTAGTACCATTGAGAAGCTGTAGTGTTTGAGAATATAGAGAATAAGCACTCTTTACTCAACAAAAAATAAAACAGAACAATAAGATATCAAGAAATTCATACCCATGAGGCAGTAACAAAATATCCATATATTGTAAAAAGTCTCCATTTAACATTAGTGGTGGGTATGTTTCTTTTTCAGTGGTACAGGCATCACGACATTGGGTGTCTATGATAATACTCTGCTTAGCTCTCAGTAAACAATATTTACATGGACACAATAATGAAGATGGTACTCTGTGTTCTGTATGATCAGCCTAGACGCAAATTATGAAAGACTTAGTTTATTCAGAAAAGATCAAAATGAATCCTGACAAATTAAGGGAGAAGAACAGAAAGATGTTGAGACTCTGTAGAGATGAGAGAGAAGGAAGAGTAGGGGGAATTTATATAAAAATGAAGTAGGAATCAAAAGCAAAGTCTACAGTAATGAGACTTTGTATCACTTTTTCAAGTGAAAAAGTACACTTGAAAAAGTGTACTTTCCAAAATGATAAATTAAACCAATGGAAGCATTAAATAAGTCACACCAAGAGCATATGGAAAGCAAGGGGTAGTTAAATTCTTATCTTTTGTAATGGGGGAATTGTTAAAAATTGTCTGAAGTTAGTAAGTCAAGAAATTATTGTTCAAACATTATTTAATGCTAGGAAGCTATTTACCAGAAAATCTGAAAAATAAAAATTTTTAAAAGAAAAATAAACCATCTTGCTTCTAGAGATAAGACTAGAATTTAAAAGGATGGGGTCAGAAATCTTGTTTTTTTCCTTTTAAATCCTTCTGTACTATTTCATTTTTTTATCCTGTGCATGTATTACTTTGAAAGTTTTTAATAAACTCTGCTAAAATGTCTCAGTGGCTTCATGTTGACTAAGACCATCCCAAAGAGTGTCAACACTCTTGTCTTTCCATTCCACTCTAGCTGGAACCACATGAAATATCTTCCAATGACTTCAACTCACAGAACCTGGTCTTGATCTCTGCGGACGTTCCACAGAAAAGCAAAACAAAATATGCCCATGCAACTAGTGACTATGATAACTGCTAACAGGTTTTCAATATTTGTTGAATGGATGAATATCCAAAACGGTGTTGCAAGATTGGCCAACCAGTGGGTTTTTTTTATTCTGTTCTGTTTTGTTTTTTCCATTATTTTTCTTCTTATGCCTGAAAGGATTTTAAGATTATAGATCAAAATGGTACTTTCCTATAGTCCTATTTCTTTGATGATTTGTTTCACATGAGTTTCCTTGATATTATTGCCACTTTCCCTGAATGTCACAATCTGCTTTCTATTACCTTTCCTCCTGTGTTAGAAGAAATAACCATCTATCTACTGGAAATCTCAGACTGGGCTGGAGCGATAGCACAGCGGTAGCGTGTTTGCCTTGCACGCAGCCAACATGGCCGACCCGAGTTCGATTCCTCTGCCCCTCTCGGAGAGCCCGGCAAGCTACTGAGAGTATCTCGCCTGCACTGCAGAGCCTGGCAGAGCCTGGCAAGCTCCCCATGACGTATTTGATATGCCAAACACAGTAACAACAACGTCTCCAATGGAGACATTATTGGGCCCGCTCGAGCAAATCGATGATCAACGGGAGGGCCTTTTACTGGAAATCTCAGACTTCCAAGTTTCTTATTTCCTGACATGCCTGATCTCTAGAAAGCTGTTTCTTCTCAATCATCTCTAACATTTATAAATGAAAATATATTTACAGATTTTTTGTTTGTTTTTTTGTTCTTTGTTTATTTGGGGAGCACACCTGGCTATGTTCAGGCCTACTCCTCACTTTATGCTCAGGAATCACTCATCGTGGGCCTCAGGATACCAGGTAGAAGATCCAGGGATGAAACCAAGTCAACCATGTGTGAGGCAAGTACCCGATCTGATATACTAGCACTCCAGCTCCAGTTTAAAGACCTTTCTTATCTGCATTAGCATCTCTATGTTCTATGTTTATCATTAGATTCTAAAATGGAGATAAAGCCCGAAAAATGAGAAGGGTTCCCAGATTAGCGGTACAATCACTGAAATAATTCTTTTGTCCACCACCACACCACTCTGCCTGAATTTCTATATAATCACTTAATCCCCGTTATTCATCGATTTATTCGAGCGGTGCCAGTAACGTCTCCATTCATTCCGGTTGCATGCTAGCGTAGCCCAATGGTATTTGTTCGTTCTAGGAACATGCAGAGCCTCAAACCGATCATTTAGGGTCTTGACGAAGAAGTCTGACCATCT